GGTATATTATAAGGTTAAAAGATATAAAGTAAAAGGTAATTATCTTAATAATATTATATTAATATTAAGCTATAACCTTTAATATTAAATAATAATTAAATAATTACTTTATAACCTTATTAGCACTTAATTAATACTATATTAACACTATACTAAAATCTAGCACCGTATTATTACTTATACCGTGCCTACGACGTACCAAATTTTTACACGATTACACGGTCACAGCGGTTACATGGGGTGCGAATTGCCCCACGGGCCCTACAACTGGTTAAATTGTCGCGTGACTGTGTCGGGCACTCATGCCTAAGGATAAGGCTTTGGAATGGGACCAGCTTATTCCATCGGCTGTGGGTGGGTTACAGTACATAGGCTTGACGAGCCATGCGAGGTTCCAACTAATCAGAAAGGGTTCACGCTTTTTACTGAATAGTACTGAATCCTTGTTTATGGCGGCAAACAACCCAAAGATAGTAGATTCCTTGAGGATTATAGCATGTAAAGACCTGGCACATTGGCAACTTTCAGTTGTTGATGATGAAACCTGCAGTCAGCGTCACTATACATCTAACTTAGTTATGAGAGTTAAAGGAGGCTTCAGGGAGATTTTTGAATCGCCCAAGGGAGGCGCATATCTCGTGTTCACTTGCAATAAACCCCTTAAAAAGAATAATCTTAGGCTGTGGCCAGATATCAGAGCGCAATATGCACAAATAGAGATGCAAAACATGTGATTCTGGTAAAGTCGCGCCTGGACCTACCCCCGCTCTGTTTCCTGGTCCTGTCGTATTCGTTTTCGCATCGCTGCGAGGACTCTCTGCCAATCATCCGCGTCTATTCTGTCAACCTACTGTTGAATCTACCTGGTCTCCTCAGAGGCGACTGATTTTCCATGTACATTAGAGATATTTCGCATTCGTTTTTATTTGAACCTTTGATGGGAAGTTTACAAGACCCCTCACTTTATTACGATGCTTTCAACTCGCTATGCCGAGGCTTTGTGAAATCCAACGATGCATATGACTGAGAATGTCACCGAAGCTCCGTCCCCAAGGGCCTATAGATCTTGACACCTTGTACGGGACAAAAGTAATGAAACAGCCATGAAGCAAACAAGCCTTAAAAAAATACCATCATGACTCTTCGGAGAACTATGTTTATCGAGTTTTTAAGCAGTTGCGCTACACTACGGCCACTACTTGGCAAGCTTTCAAGGCAAGCAATCTTGTTGATGACTCTTATACTTTACGTCTTGACATGCTACGTTTTACGGTTCAGGAGCCTCCGTTGTATGAAATCCCGATTCAACTTTCCCGATAGGGCCTCCTTGGCATGGATGACTGGTTCAGAAGCGCAAGCAATCATCGAACATGCTTATACCTACGAGTTCCCATTGTTCTTTGGCCTCTCATTAACATATGCGCAGATGAAGGTAAGACAATGCACTAGTCATGCATAGTTGAGTCTCTGACTATAGAATTCTAGACTTATGCCATTCAAAACATTGCAAAACTTTTAGCCGCAACAGGTAATCTTTCGAAACAGAGCAAAGTGTCCAAGAGGTAAGCCCGGAGTGACGTATTCGCAAAACCGCCTATGCAAAACTTGGGCCCTAACGCGGCCTCAGATTCGAAGATACAGCGCTCATTTTTGCCTGGTAAGCGTTATGGATTCTTTTGTCTTCCTCAGACGTACATGTGACGGTGCGAATTCCTCTAGTTTCATGCTCTTTCCCCCCGATTCGCCGCAGCTTCACGGCGCAGTTGCTCGAATGAATTACCTTCACGGCCCCTATATTAGGTCGGGCAAGATCCAAAATCAGGATCTACTATACGTACTGTACGCGGCTATGAGCGAGCCTGTACGATTCATCAGATTATACGAATGGAGAGAGCTTTCAATGCTTGAGATTGCAGCGCAGGGGACTCTTTGGAAAATGGTCGGCGACATGATGGGTATCAACTACACCGAGGCTTTTGGTAAAGACAATTGGAAAGACGGACTTGAGTTCTTGGGACAAGTAGAACAATGGGCGCTACATTATGAAATTGATCGACTTCGACCGTCGCATCCTAGTCGATAACTGGCAAACGCGCAGCTCGACCTCCTCACATCCATATTTCCCAAGTTCATGAGGTCTTTGATGCGGCAAATGGGCCTCGTTATGATGGGCGACAAGATGCGTTGCTCATTTGGGTAAGTCAGTGTCGTCGTCCCCTGGTTAACCATGAATCCATGATGCAGCTGTCTGATTGCGTGTGACCAATAGCTTTCCGGAGCCAAGCACAGCAATCTCAGCACTTACCCTCACCCTTCTATGGTTGCGGCAAATAATGATGCGGTTCTTCATGCCCCCTCGACCAACCAGCCGCCGCTACGTCACGGAGCCCGATCCCATAACAGGTCGCATGTACAGTACTCACTATGTCAAAGACCCGTGGTATAATCGACCGACTATATGGGCGCGCTGGCGTCCTGCGGCATGGACAACTTGGGCATTCGGCGGCATGTTGCCCGGCGATGGCGGTCAAGAGATGAAGCCTGATGGGTTTTTATTCGAGGACATTGGGCCAAAAGCAAAAATGGGGTTGGGTGCGGAGGAGACGAGGAACATACAGGAGGTTGTTCGTGTAGCTGCCATGGCTTCGGGACGGTGTCCCTTTGCTTTCAAAGAATAGACACAGGAGACTTTACCATTTTGGTTATTAAAGTTGGAGCAACTCGCGACATCCAAGGAGGAAAAATGCAGATATAGCAATTTAGCTGACGCCTCTGCTCCCAGTATTGAAACTGAAGATCCATACCAAACTTGAAAGTTGGTTCGAGGTTCTCCAATAGTGCAAGCTGAATTGCGTGCGTCGTTTACACCCATCCATGCTTGCACCATCCTGCTATAGCACTAGCTAGTTTCCGAAAATTGAATACCACATGGGTCTGAAAGCTCTGCGGGAGATGAATCGCAAATTCTTCCACTCGGGAACTAACCGTGGCAAGTCATTACTTAAGAAGCAATTGTTGAATATCTCGGCGCCATATATCTGCCATCTCAAACACCACGGCGCGACGTTCTGGCCACAGGAAAAAACACCGGAGTTTCAGGATGCATACTCGCACAGAATGTCTAGCGCCGCAGCAAATCAAATCATGACAGCATGATCATTTTGATTCGTTCTCGTGCCGCGCCTCGATTTCACCTAAAACACTTGGAGAGCTACTGGGAATGCACATGGTCTCTGGAATGTAAAGAAGGCTGGGAACATGACGTCCAACGCCATAGGTAGCCTATTACCACGACAAAAATTTTCAACGGAGGAAATTCCTCTCGTTGCAGCATCTGAGTCAATGAGTGGAGTGTTGACGAATTACCGGCAGAGTTTAACCATCTGATACCACTTGACCTCTGGGTGAGACAAGTAGCTAGGAGCTCCTTATCGTCGCACTCTTTGCAAGCTCGTAAAAGAAAAATTTAAGCAAGACATGCGGAATGGCGAATGACCAATCTGGATGTAACAGAGGAGCCTCGAGAAGGCTCTTGAAAAGCCCAATATAACCCATTTCTCCTGGTACTCCTTTCTCTGTTTGCTTGCGGCCTGTGTCCATGAAGTTGCTACAATACTATGGACCAACCAAAAGTCATCGACGACGAAAAGCAACCCTACGTTACTCACGACGTATTTGTCGCGGATAATAGTAGACCGTCGTTGTCCTCATACTCCTCCCATGCGTCATCCCGCACTGCCTATGTTCCTCACAACCATCATGCCAACGAGCAACATCACTCGACTACAGCCCCGAGTTTCGACTTTGACCCTCCTGATGGCGGATGGCGAGCCTGGTCTCAGGTGCTTGCTGCCAACCTCGCTAATGCTGTATCCTGGGGCTACGCTGCTACATTTGGAGTATACCAGCTGTATTATGTTGACGCAATGGGCCTAGAGTCATCACAGGTATCTTGGATTGGGTCAGTCCAGGTATTTCTTGCATTTGTTGTCTGCGGCCCATCCGGCCGCATTGCCGATGCCGGCTACGCTCACGAGATTATCATCGTGGGCTGCTTCTTTGTTGTACTGGGCTCTTATATGACTAGCTTTTGTTATGAGTATTGGCAAATCATGCTCGCCCAAGGGGTTTGCACGGGGATCGGTCTTGGCGTCATTTCTACTCCCGCCGTCGCCATAACCAGCTCGTACTTTAGCACACGCAGATCACTGGCGCTATCCATGTCCGCTATGGGAACCTCCGCGGGAGGTGTTGTCTTCCCAGCGATAGTGCAGTACCTGATTCCTCAGATAGGGTTTAGCTGGGCTACCCGAGTCGGATCTCTTGCGGCGCTTGTATTCTGTGTAGGAGCCTGCGTGCTCCTGAAGCCGTATATCCCGGGGCGGAAAACAGGCCCCTGGGTTGAGTGGGCAGCATTCAAAGAGATCCCCTATGCATTATTTGCTGCTGCAGCTTTTCTGAACTTTTACGGCATGTACTTTGGACTTTTTTATGTGAGCATCACCGTTTGTCTATATGCTCGCAGGCTTCCAGGGAGAAGTTGAACTAATGAGAACCAAAACAGATCAATAGCTTTGCGCGCGATGTCATTGGGTTTTCGTCCGTCGAATCCGTAAGCTTGCTGCTGATTACGAATTCCATCGGCCTGCCGGTTCGACCGATTATAGGATACGTGGCAAATACGCATGTTGGACCTATTAATGTTTTTATAATAGCCACTGCGTTTGTGGGGGTCATGCTGTTTATTTGGACGACTATAACTACACGGGCGAGCATGTACGTCTTCAGTGTCTTTTATGGCCTAGCTGTTAGTGCCAATCAAAGCACCTATGTTCCTTCACTGGCGAGTCTGACCCAGGATCCGCAAAAGATGGGGATCCGATTCGGCATGATCGAGACACTATGTGCGTTTTCCACCCTAGCCGGCCCTCCTACGGCGGGAGCAATCATTGATCGAACGGGCAGTTATGCCTCGGCTCAGGTTTGGGGCGGATCAGTTATGCTGGCTGCTGCATTGACTCTTGTGGCGTCAAGGGTATCTATTACCGGTTGGAAGTGGAAAGTCTTGATATGACGGCCGAGGTCCAAGCGGGGGATGGGAAAGACGGGTGTAAAGGAGAAGCCATGTGTACACAAGGGTTGTTGGATCCAGATGATCTGAATGCAGGGACAGTAGGAAGATTATCCCATTCTACTAATCAATAGACTTCTTTGTTAGAGCCACACTCTACACTCGCACTTAGATTCTCCTGACATTTCTATGCCACATATTTTATAAGTCACCGAGTGTGACAAGGGCTCAGTATATGAGGGCTCGGAGTAATGACTCACTTCATTTAGAACAGTATTTGTTATTAAAGATCCTTGGGTTTCCTCAAAGCCTAGATGACGAAAGAGCTCTATTTGCAAAGAAGTCGGCGAGAGCCTTCTGCCCTAGGTCTCGTGATCGTATACCTCGTGTAACCGTGTGACAGCAATTCATTGACCAATTCCAAGATCTGGGCATGATATTCCGACCCATCCATGTGACCTCTCATCCAATGACAATTCTCCATGATACAACATTCTCCATAGGCATTATTGATGAAAGGCTGCTCAGGATCGCATTAATTAGGAGTCGAATTTCGACCCTTATTACACACGTACGACGTCAGGTTATCTCTTATCTCCCAAGCGTCGCGACTTATTCTCGTGGAGCCCATCCCAATTGTGTATTGTGAAAACTTCAATTCCTTTCCTACTCCTGGACCGTCCTTCCAATCCTATGCCCATTTCCTAGCCAGGGTTCAAGGACCCAAAGATTCCAAGAGGGCACCAAAGGAAAGGGCTTGCTGGAACTACTCAGTTCGGCACCTTGCCGTTGCTACCGGATTCCCAATTCCACGGCGACCATCTGACTTCCATGGTGTGGAGCTGCCCTTACACTGATGCAAGTTTTAACCCAAGTCGACTATCCTTTGCCATATCCTTTGCCATACATGGATGGTTTTGTTCTCAAGGACCGCAACTCTGTGCTCTTTCCAGTCCTATCTGACAAGGACAGAACTGCCGTCCAGTGGCATCTTGTCGAGGGCGTCGAGGGCTCTGGCCTTTCCAGAGTAGAAGCTCACACGACGCCACCGAACCTCGTAACTGTCACCGGATCCGTTGACGAATATGTCGATAATATTTGCCCTGCTACAAAACGTCACTTTCTAGGGCTATCTCGAGACGCAAGAATCCACCTACGGAGAACGTCTGCGAGGCAAACGCTGTCACTCTATTGTTTGACGAGTTCGGGGATGAAGATGGTGACACTTTTGGTCGGGCCAAAAAGGCGACACGAATACCTAGATAACAGGGCGTTTTGGCTCCCATAACATCGTCCTAGTCGTACTTGCCACGTTGGGGTGAACCAACACCGCTGCAGCCGCTGCAAGTCTACGCTTAAGCTACTACAATATCAAGTTGACATTGGTTGTGGGGTTCCTTTGATCAATAGCAGTAATGCCTTTCTAGGAGATTTTATGAGGGGCGAAAAGGTCATCCAGTACGACTACGGTTGATTATGCCCGGGGTACTTTGCGGTCAAGAAAACAGTTGATGATAGCCTTACATTGCCTTTGAGATGGATGGCGCGGGGGCTTGGGACGAGGTCCCGTGCATTGTGGTAAAGGGCATCTGTGACTATTCGGATAGCCATAAAGGTAAAAGATGGCAGGATTTTGCAGCTGCATTAGCAGCAGTAGCAAAGCCTCTGCTAGAGCGGTATATACATGAGGATCGCGATGGGCTTGTAGACGGATCACGGAAGCTCCTGCAAAAGCTACCACAAAAGGTCAAGACCACCCAGACACTACAAGATTTGGGCAAGAAAAATCCGGACTTTCAAACAGTAGTTATCCATGCATCCATTAGTGGGCCAAGTTTTGCAGAAAAGTCAAGATGTTTTGGGGTATCTAGTCCTAAGGCACTTGTGTTTGTTAACAGCCAAGCTGATTTGTACCTGGCTATTTGAGTGAGCTAATCTTGCATGTTCCCTTTTTCATAAGCGCGTAACTTCAAGATCTGTGTAGATATCTTTGCTTTTGCACATCCATTCAAGAAAAGGGTCACGAATACTCATCCAACAAGCGGCATGGCCGGGAGGTGTGCTTGTTCTATCTTGGCCTTGACAAAATTCTGCTTCATATATTTGTCGCCGTGGCTTCAATTAATGATGCTATGGCTGATGTTTTTGGGACTTCGGGATGAATAAATTCCCATTTTTGGGTAGCCATATTACGGAGTCTGAAGCACCGGCCTAGCAGAATTTGATCCTGGCCAAGTCCAAAAGCTTCTATGGGGGAGGCTTATCTTTAACTCAATGCTTAACCGTAAGATACTGGAGGTTCCTCCTAGGAAGTCATACCAAGTTTGCAAGGTTGATATCGTGTTCTTGGTGAACAGGAAGAATCGCGGCAAATAGAACGGCTACGTCGGAACGGGCCGGCAAAAGTCTGGAGGCGGCCGCACCGCCGCCATTTCCGTCGGAGCTTCGGCCCCTCCAGCGCCCTACAACTCACCTGTTTGCTTCAGACTAGAGTTCCATGGGAGAATTTTATCAGCCCGTCACAAAATTAGCTCCAGCTGCGGAATTGCAACTATACCCAAGTCTGCGCCGAAACCCGAGACAGGGGATTTGGGTTAATCTAAAACTGGTGACGGAGGCTGTAGTTCCGGTACTCGGCGCAACCAGGCTTGGATCTTGGAGCAGTAGGGTTCAACTTTATAGTCACCATAAATAGCAGTCTATTCTCGGTAAAGTTGTTCAGGGGCATTTTAGAGTACGAATTTGGCGTCAAGGTCGTGAAATGGGGTCAACGGTGTTACCAGACACGCAGAATAGGTCGCAATAGCCCCGACAGCTTGAGCACAAGGCAATAACCCAAGAAGAAAATATCTCAATAAAATAATACCGAAATAATAGCCGCAGAGTATAAGGTACCAACCGGGATTGCGTGAGTGACAATTTTCACCTGATGCGCGGAGCAAGTGACTTGCAGCCAAGCAGCTCATGTACCAAATTATGAGGGTCCGAAATCAACCGAAGCCGGCATAGCTTAGTGGTAGAGCGTTGCACTTGTATCTCCACGATATGCAAAGGTCGCTTGTTCGAGTCAGGCTGTTGGCACTTCTTTTTGATCCTTTTCCTTTTCTTCCCTTTTGCTCATGAACCCTCCACTCCACGTTTTGCGCATTTTTTTTGTTACCAGCGACCAGTTCCAATCTCCCCTAACTGATATTCTCTGGAACGTCTGATGTGAATAATTCTCAAGTTTATTAGTTCATTCCAGCATAGCCCCAGGATACAGTATTACAGACCAAGCGCACGAAAGCTCGCGACACGAATCTGCAGGAATGCCAGATGAAAATGAATATATTCCCATAGTGCCTTCGATCAGTCTGTCTTTCAACTATTCTAAAATGCTACATCATCACGTACTTTTGTTGTACTATTCAGACCCCAGCCAAAACAGACCGGTTCTTGATTCCAAAATATACCAGACTTCCCACCACCGGAACCACCACAGCAGCCAGCGTCATCATTGCATTCTGAATCCGGGGCTTCAGCCAGTCACGGACATTACTCCTGAAGTTCTCTTGGACATGAGGAGTGGGAAACGGCTGATCGGGTGTAGGGAGATGCAGGAACGCGCAGATTTGTTCCCAGCCGAGGCCGTCTTCGAGATGGAAGAAGAGGAGCCGATCGGCGGGGAGGACGCTCTTGGCCATTTCGATGCTACACTCGCTAGGTATGAACCTGGTGACAAAAATACAAACAAAAGGAGCCGCCGTGGGGAAACCTACTAAGAAACATAATTCCTTCGCATAGCCGCCTCGTTGTTTCTATCCCCAGGAACGGTGCCGTCGGCAATCGCCTCATAAATGACCTTGTGCAACATGACAAATTTGTGCAAATCCCTATTAAAGTAGTGCAACACATTCAGCGGGAACTGCTTCATCTTGGTGACGATTTCGCCGGCCGTGCTGTTCATAGAGGTCACCCATTTGTCCGGGTCGCGGTCGGTCAGGATGAACTTGATGTTGGGGTCGTCGGCGTAGGCGTTGAGCAGTCCAGGACCTAGGAAATACGGAATTTCGACGATGCACTGTACCAAGAGTCAGGTATGAAGCTCACAAGAAAAGAGCACAGCAGGAGAATGTAGCTTCATACATCATATTCCGCCAGCCACTTATCGAAGTCTGGCCTGCTGTACCGCTTGATGCCCGAGAGGGGGCTATATCGCGCCTGGATGGCCTCGGCGAGAACCTCCATGTGCGGCACACCGCTTTCGTGAACACACTGTTTCATGTGGAATGTTTTGTAGCCCAGGACCTTCATGGCCTCATATACGCTCAGCGTTCCCGTTCTAACCCGTCCGTCAGCCTCGCCCCTCTTCTGCTACTATTTGCCACTGGTGATTAAAGTCATACCTGCTTGCCGTTGCCACAATGACCTTGACCGGGGCCTTGGTCTTTGGTTGAGGCAGCTTATCAATGATTCGCGACATGGCCAAGGCAAACAGCGATGATTACTTCCCCAGCCACAAAAAGTTGCCAACGATGGTAAGTATTGCATGAGAAACTTGGGGAGATTCGAAGTGGGATTATGCTACACGTATCTTAGATGAGATCCGATGGTGGATATGACCAATCATGAATGTATACGCGAAAGGGGCTGCTTATACCGTTGCATTGCACAACTCGGCTGCACACCTGCTGTATAGACGGTGACGTAATGTTTATACCAGCGGCTCGTCGATGGCAACCCGACGAAGCGATGATTTCAGATTTCATGAGGAGGGAGGCGCACGCTTGTAAGCTGACAGCTGAGGCGGTTAAAAGAGGCGCCGACGGTCTTGGGCTAGGGGCGCCACGACTAAAGCCTATTTACTGATGAAATGCTATATGTACGAGCAGGACTACACCTGTGTAGTATTGGCCAAAAAAAGGGGGTTCATGCTCACGATATATTCATCGAGTCGTCCACGAGCTTTGATTGGGAACCATTCCTCGAAAGCTCTTGGAGTGATTCGAAGCCCAGCAGTGATATTTTTAGATCTCCTGTGGTAAACAAAAAAAGGAAATAAAAATACATATATTCGAAGAAATTTTGAAAACCATTAGAAATACCCCGGGCATGGCAAAATAATAATCTAGTATAGTAGTGTCACTGGTCGGACAATATCAATTGACATCTTGGCCGTGAACTGTAGTTGTATATATCGTTTGAAAGCCCATTTCGCTAAGCGGCTCCGTCATGCAGTTGCTCGGTGGAGGGAAACCATGGAAACCACTTCCAATGCACGGACGGGGTTTAGTCTAGAATCAGGAAGAACAAACGACAAAAACCATCAGATCGATTCCTTTATTTATCTGCGTCAATTCAATTTATGCTCTACAGACGCAGCTCTCCAGGTTGCTGCAAATACGCCATCACGTGGAGTGGTGTGACGGTGTCAACATCGTAACCGACTGGTGTGGGGAAGTGGGACGACATTTACATCAATTGACGGTTGACTCTGTTGCTCATCCATCTGTATTCACCCCGACACCATTGGTTTTCATCAGTTGGACCAATCGACCCAAGGCTTACATTTCCTATAGAGGGCCAAGATGCGCCCATCAATCATCGCGTCTCTGGCGCTGGTGCCGTGGGCAACGTGCCACCAACAGCCATTGAAGGACGCCAAGCATCGTGTCCCAACCTCGCACCATGCAGCCGCGGCCGCAGCGCCCTCATATCGCCAAGACCTGCTCAGCCTACACAAGCAACTCGTCTCGATCCCCTCCATCTCGGGAAACGAAAACGCCGTCGGCAACTTCCTCGTCGACTACCTCGCCGCCCGCGGGTACCATGCCGACCTCCAGCCCGTCGCGGCCAGGGACGGCACGCCCCAAGACAAACAACGCTTCAACGTCCTCGCGTGGAAGGGCGAGAGAGTCCCCTCGGCCAGGGTGGTTGTATCCTCGCACATTGACGTCGTGCCCCCGCACATTCCGTACTCCATCTCCCCCGGCGAAATCACGCCCGAAACCATGATCAAGGGCCGCGGTTCCGTCGACGCCAAGGGCAGCGTGGCGTCCATGATTGTTGCGCTCGAGCAGCTGCATGCCTCAAAAGTAATCGCCCACCAGGACCAGGTGATGCTCCTTTTCGTGGTGGGCGAAGAAGTTGCCGGCGACGGAATGGCCACGTTTAGCGACTCGCTGTCCAAGATGAAGGAGCCGCCGAAATTCGACGCCGTCATCTTTGGTGAGCCCACCGAGAACAGGCTTGCGTGTGGCCACAAGGGCGGGCTGTTCTGCGACATCACCGCTCGTGGTGTGCCGGGTCACAGTGGGTATCCGTGGCTGGGCAAGTCGGCAAACGAGCTGATGGTGCGTGCCTTGGCAAGGATTCTGGATGCCGACTTGGGCAGCTCGGAGCTTTTTGGAAACACAACGTTTAACATCGGCCGGTTCGACGGCGGCGTGGCGGCCAATGTGATTCCCGAAAAGGCAGTGGTCAAGTTTGCTGCGAGGGTGGCCATTGGGCCCGAAGACAGGGGGCATGAGATTGTGACGAGGAAGATTCAGAGGATACTGGATGAAGTTGATGACGAGGCGTTTGAGATGGACTGCACCCACGGCTATGGATCGGTCGAGTGCAATTGCGATGTTGACGGTAGTTTTTCCCCAGGCGTGTCTGCTCATGACGGCATTTACTAACCCACCTCGCCGGACAGGATTCGAAAAGATTACAGTCAATTACGGCACGGACATTCCCAACCTGGCTGGTAATCACACGAGGTACTTGTACGGTCCTGGCAACATTCTCGTTGCTCATGGCGCAAGGGAAAACCTGACGGTTGCGGATTTGGAAGAAGCCGTTGAAGGGTATCAGAAACTAATTGTCCATGCGTTGAAGCAATAACGTCACAGCATCACAGCAAGTGGCTGTGGAAGACGGGCTTCATGCTATGCGCGCTCATAATCTAATGCGGTGACTCCCCACGTCGCGTCTCGTTTGGAAAATTGACTTTTACATGGCCCAGCTCCCACTCAAATTTCTCATTACTTCATTCCATCACTCTCACGCCCCAGCCACTTTTGCCCACCGTTCTGGCATTATCTTGCCAAAGTCGAATTTGCCATCGGGTCCCTTCTCGACTGCTCCCTTTTCAGTCACCACGGCATCAATAAACTCGGCTGGCGTAACATCAAACGCGGGGTTCCACACCTCGATCCTCTGATCGGCCGTGGCAACCCTGACCTTTGTGCTCTCATCCACCCTGCCATCAGCCTTGATGACAGCACCAGTCACCTGGGTCAGCTCCTCCCGCTTGCGCTCCTCGATCTTGATGCCATCCCCAGTTTCCGTCTCCAGATCGATGCTGGTAGTCGGCGCCGCCACCAAAAACTTGATGCCGTGGTGCTTTGCGAGCACAGCCAGTTGATACGTTCCAATCTTGTTGGCGGTGTCGCCGTTGCGAACAACTCGGGCGGCGCCGACAAA